GTAAGCAGTTGACGATTGACTCATCTCCCTGTAGTATCCTCACCAAGTTTGTAGTCTCTTTTTCCCAAATAAAGAAAGAACCATCATCTGAACCACTGACGATGTACTGCCCTTTGCTGTAGAAAGACACATATAAAAGGCATAGCTCCTCTGTAAATCCATCATTTGAAAAGTGATTACTCCATCGCAAAGCATTAAAGTGCAATGGATATTCAAATATTACTAAAAATAGAAAGCCAAACATAACTCATTTACTGCCCTCTAGTGATGCCTGTGTGAAGTGCTGGGGAATTTTACTTGCCTTCCAAAAAAGTTAGCTTCCTTAATATCCGTGGTTGTATTGCAGTGACCACAGTATCGATGCTTGTAGTCAAAACTGCGCTCTCTCAGTGCCAGTTCATCTTCAGGGATCGACTCCTTTCGACTGAATGAGTGAAATCTAACAGAGCTGTTGGCCTTTTTGTCTTCTGTTAAACATTTAAATTTTAATAACACATGGTAGCAATGGTTGAATGTGTGTAACAAATGCATACATTTTCAATGTTCTCACCTGATTCATTTTTAGCAAATAAAGCAGCTTTTATATCTTTATCAAGGGCGTCACACGCACTACTGTGAGCCTGCTCGGGAAACTTTCCCTTAAAGTCATCCAAACACTCCAGGGCCTCTGTCACATATTTAAGCTCAAAGAGACATCGTGCCAGCCTGAAATGAGCCTTCAGATGGGCAGGGTTGAGACTCAGAGCCTTCAGGCAATCCCTGAGAGCGTCATAATGGTCACCATCCCTTTAATGCAACAAGTAAAAAGATGTTGACTCTGATAGAATATAAGGAAGTGAAGAAGTAGTAGTAGTAGTAGTAGTAGTAGTAGTGAAGCAGTGAAGAATCTTACCACTTCCGTTTCATATAGGCTGCAGCACGGTTACCATATAACATTGCATTGCAGTCAGCTTGATGAATACCTAAGCTGTATAGTTGGATGGCCTGTGTCCATTGCTGTCGTGCAAATGCATCATTCGCCTGTTGCTTTATTTTCTCCAAGTGAGGAGGAAGCTCAGAAGAACTGTAAAATATAGGTATAATCACATCTTTGACATGTTTCATTGTGATTCTGCAAGTAATAAAGCATATGATTATCTTACCAAGCATGAATCTTGTTTCCAGCTAATCGAATATGGCTTGTTTGAAGGTGAATACCATTAGATACACCATTGGTCTTCCTGCCGTTCTGTAGCTCTACAAGAAAAATAAATCAGTGAATAAACAGCACCACTTTTACATGCCATAAAAGCAATACCGTACCTGGTGATGACTGGTACTTCTTTTGAAGAAAGAAAGTGTATGGTTTTTGTTTAAATGTGAGGTCAAACAAGTATACCTAAGAGGGAACAAAAATTTATTTTACAATCATATAATGATATTATTGTTTATCTTTTAAGGATTACCTGTTCACCCCCCATGTTAACAAGTAGCTCAGTGCCATCTGGACTGAAAGTGACATAAGTAGCTACCAACACCCTGAGGCGGTTAGTGTAGTCGGGTAGTTTGACAGGTAAATGACCTGGTACATACAAAAGAAAAAAAGGCATTATAGTTGTTAATCATTTACAGTTAGTATTATTTAGTTAGTTATTTAATACAAGGCTAAATTTTCACCTGCTACATAATACTGCCCTGCTCCGTCTGGGATGGGTTTCTTTCTGTCACAAAACGTGTGCACAGCGGCAGATGTGCTCTGCACCATAGATTTTCTGTGAGAATGAGAAAAGTTAAAATTCCAATCTATCCAATGCAATTCATAAAAGATAACACTGTATCACAAATCAAACCCCAACAGACCTATAATTGTGAATCATTCGAATGTCATAGAGCCGTACAAATGGCCCATTAGCTCCCACGGCTAGGTAATTGTTGTCCCGTGGATTAACAGCTAAACATTTCGCTTCCACCAGCTGACCGCAGAACTCTGTCAAGTCTATGAGAACTTCTGAATGTTTACTGCTCTCCCGAAGATCATATTGCCTGTAAATATTTAATAAAGTTGAGTTATAGGTATGGTATCAAAACAGCACTTTAAAAAGTGTATCTTTATTTTGTATTTTACCTTATAACACCGTCCTCTGCAGCACTCCAGAATGTGTTGGGCCACATGGGTGCTGTGGCAATGCGTTTGACCCTGTTTGTATGATCAGAAAACATGTGGATGGTTTCCTTTGCAGTGACGTCATGCACATGAACCTTTGTGTCTGCAGCACCTGTCACCAAAATCCTGTCACCAGAGTGAGGAAGGAACTATGTGGAGAAATACACAAAACCAAATTATATTGTTAATAAATCACAACCTCTAAATGAAAGAAATAAAAGATAGACTGTGTAAAACACAGGAGAATTTACTTTTCTTTTTACGTATTGTTTAATTTTCATATAGACATATGAGGATGTGGTTGCCAAAATGTCTATGTTATCTGGAACTTCACCTTTACAGAGAAGATGTTTGCTGCATGGCCTGTATGCATAGTTGTAAGCTTCTTTTGTTTGAAAGGGTCCCAGATGATGGCATGTTGATCATCCGAGCCAGAGGCCAGAAGGCTGAAGGGTGAAAAAGGAAAATTTGTATTTGTTAAGATCTTTTTGACTGTGACAATTTGCACACTTTTAACAGTGCAATATTTATAAGAGGGACAAGAGCAGCTAAGGGGATAGGACATGGTAGCTGTCTTAAAACTAACAGCTGGCAGTAAACTCTGAGCTCTAGCTAGACATGGAGACTGCAGACATAGACTTTAGTTGAGCAAGACAGTCCAACCACATAGCCATAGAGTGAATGTGATTTGCCCCAAAGCAGGAAATGCAATATAAAACCACTCACATTTTATTCTATCGGGCAGCTAATAGGGCTGCATGATTTAGGAAAATATCTGTAATTGTAATTTTTCAGGCAAGCATTACGATTTGATTTGCAATTTATGTTTCAAAAATATGATTCTGTTAAAAGTTCACAAACTTATACAAGAATCACATTTCTGACCATGTTTTAAAGACTGCCTTTACACTAAACTATAGGGTTATGACGACTATAGCCTTTATGATTTGATTCATTCAAAAAGTATAAAATATTTTTAAAAAGCATAAAATAAAAATATAAAATAGCAAGAGTTAGAGTACACTAAAAGCACAATAAAAAGGCTTACTCTCCACGTTCATTCCACTCCAAACAGTTCACACAGCCAGTATGACCCTAAAACACATGATGTTTAGTGTTATGAGAAAGACTATCCTTCATATAACTTACTACAGCTTTCAGTCTTACCTGCAGCTCCGTCTCAAGTCCCAGTCTCTTGATGAAAGGGTCTGTCACATGGTAGAGTCTTTGGAAACCTGATGCTCCTTTATCCTAAAATAAAGCAAATAAATATGTAACAGATAATTAGTACATTATTTTTCATTTGAGTGAGCTGAAGTAAATATGTGAGTAAAGTTTAACCCACCCTGATCTGCCGGTGAAGGAGGTCTCTGGTGATGTTGACAGTGGTCATGGTCTCTTCAGAAAAATAAAAATAAATAAATGTTTTGGAAATATAAAGAGACATTTGTAATGTGACTGTAATACAGTGAAAAGAAAGATGATTTTTGGATTGCCTCATGCAATATGTTAATGCAGTTACAGAGCAGAAGACGTTTGTTCACTATAATGCCATTATTAATAGTGATGTTAATGATTTACTAAATTTATCGGTAATGATAACTATTCTCTCACTTTCTTGCAACAAACAATGAACTTGCTCCAGTAAGGTACAAGAAGGCAACTTTATTAGCTGTTGCTACTGGGCTAATATTTGCTACTTTTAGAGCCTTGTCAAAATGTAATCTAAAAACTGCAGCAACATACATCATAGATAATGTTATACCTGTATGTGATATTCTGTTAGATTATTATTGTTTATCACACCGTGCAGTACAGAACTGACCTGTCGTTTCCAATGTAGCTTGTGGCGTTAGCGCATTTAGCTACGTTTATTGCTAGCTAAACAAACCGTTCAATTCACATAACGCTGAAATTTGCCATTATTTCAATACAACATGTTGATATATGGATCTTACCCGTTCCCTTGATATAGAAAGACGTATGTCACGAAATGTCCATGGAGCAAACGTGCAAAATCACCCTCTATACGAGTTTGTTGACAAGAATTTCGCTAATGCCTTTCCTGAACACTGCCCTCTGCACAACTGGGGTTGCCAGCTGAAGAAAGCAAATTTCAGCCTAAAGCCAGCCCACGAAGAGCCCACAGAAATAAACAGCTAGACATGCAGGCACACAGACTGTATAAAAATATATACGATCTATGTGCAGGCATCATTTATGCAAGATTACCTTAGTACTTCATTACTTTAGAATCAAGTTTCGAATTTACGGTTTAATATTTAAGAAAGCAGTACAACTTATGTTGTAGATGGTGGTGGATATCTATATTCCATTAGCCAAATGTGTTTTTCTATCAGCACCAAACCTAGGAGTTTGTATTATGAGTCATACATTTACGAACAATATGTCCTAAATTATATGGATCAATAATATGATTATGCTTTAGCTAATCAAAATATTCTCTTGTAATTGTTGGAGCTCCGGCCTGTACATGTAAGCCTACATCCATTTGGATTAATTTAATCACTATGTAACAAAGTTTATAAATGTTATATTTTTACTCTAGAAAGTGCACGCGCGGATGTAGAATATTCTGTCGAACTTTCACAGCGCGATTCTTGAACCTCTAGAGGGGCCTTCCTTTATACAGGACCTGGGTTCCATCTGGCGGCCATATTATGACTGTAACACACACTTCCATATGAATCATCATAGCGGGTTTCAACCTCCTGTCATATTGTGTAATTTTGAGAAAGATTTAATATTTTGTTTAAGCTGTTCATTTCTATTGCAGCGGCCCTAACTTTTTCTTTTTAGCATTGTGAAACCCATGATGGACATGATATTACTCTTGTTTATGATGTGTCATTGATTAACCTGTTTATATTTGTACTGTAAACAACGCGTTTTTCATTAGTTTTATTTTTCCAAATCAATTTTTGTTGTATTTCTGCCTTTTTTAGGGGTAGTAACTTTCCCATATGTTGACATAAAGGAAGTATAGATCATGCAAGTATATATACTGTATAAAGTATAGATCGCTGTACGGAAACATCTAACCTTTACACTTTTAAAAACTTTTTTAAATTGTAAACATGGTTTCCCAGACCATAGAGGGGCAGAGGAGCTCATTCTCCAACAGGCTTCTTCATCTCTGCTCAAAGAGAGATACAGGACTACATTCATACCACACTGCATACAAATGTACAACAACTCACCCTTATATAACAGATAATACTCCCTACAACTGTACAACAACTCACCCTTATGTAACGGATAACCCTGTGTCCTATCAATAATAATCTAATTGTCTTCCTGTGACCTCTTATATATAGCTGAGATTTTTAGATTTTATTTCTTAATTTTCTATTTTATTTTGACTTGTACATTTATAAGATTATGCCTGACACCTGTCTCTTGCTATCTCTTTTGCTATTTATTTAGAATTTATTATTACCGTTTATATATTTTACTCTTTGTTATTATATTATATTATGATGAGTGACCTACTGTGTCCAAGTAATTTCCCTTGTGGATCAATAAAGTTTGTCTAAGTCTAAATTATATTTTGTACCTTTCCAAGATGGCTGCCACATTTGCTCTGCTAGTGTTGCTCTAGTGTGCTTTGCTCTCATCGTGGCCGTGCGCATCTAGCTGTTCTCCGCGGTGTCTCCAGCGCGCAGTTGTCGAGGCGGCGGAACAACAGCGGATGGTTCGGATTGTGTTACTCGCCTGAAACAGATTTGCTGCATCCTCTGTCTTTGGAAATCAAAAGGTAGGGCATCAATCAAGCGCGACTAAATTGCCATTGCATTTGCAACCAAACCGATGGAAACGAGCAGAGATTTGATGCTCCACGAGAACTTTTAAGCCTTTAAACAAGCCGAAACGTAGCATTAGCCATTAGCTGTTAGCATGTTTGACGGAAACAGATTTGTCACGGATTATCTTACACGGTTAACGGACCACAGCATCTTTCTGCAAAAACATTCCGTTATAAATTTGAGGTAGGAAATTGTGCCGTAAATCCACACAGTTTACATATTAAAGACTACGCATTATGGTCGAGGTTGGTGTGGTTACAGACAAAGCGCACCAAATGGATGTAAATCGTGGCTTGTGTATATTTTTAACCCTTTGTTTTTCTTTGCTGAATTAGCTTCTTAACGAATTTAAGGATTCTCACTTTTTGTATATTCACATACATTTGTATTTTGTGTACTGTTGCACCTCTTCCCGTAGGCTATGGGGATAAAAATGTTCTTGCACATATTATGTAACTGTACTGCATGGGCTCATGTTGTTATTTTTGTTACTACTTAAACAAGAGTGTTTAATACATGTGAGGAGACAGGTCTTTTGGATAAATGGATTGCTTGTGTGCAGTTGTTACCTTTTATTTATTTGTCTTTGTGTTCTTGTCTGCTTCAAAAGTAAAGTGTCTACCCATTTGACACTGGTGTATAGGTGTATTGTATGTGGTCCTTTTAAAATCGAATCTTAAACAACAACTGTGTATTCATCTATGTTTCTTTGCTTAAACTTAGGCTGAATAACTGTTTGTATGGAATGACAACTTCTCAGAGATATATTGACTCAAATCCAGCAGGTAATACATTTTGGAGAGGTTATGTGATTGTTCATTATGTCATTATTAAGATTTTTTCTACAATGTAATTGCTCCATATCTTTGCTAATATTCTAGCTCGGTTTGCTGACATGGAGTGGCAAACACCAGCTGTGTCAGAAAAGTTTCAAAGTCGCTTTGGTCGTCGTCCTGGGACCTCAGACAGTGGGGACACTGGTATTGGCACGTCAGTGTCTGATAGTACAGAAGGTAAGGGCTTTTATGTATTTTATGTGACACACTGATCCAGCTAACTTAAAGCTATTGCATCACACCATCCAGGGCTGTTTACTCCGTATTGACCAAGAGACCTCACATCTGTGTTATTTATTAGTGTTTATAAATTGGGTGACATGTTAACTGTGGAGTCCAGGGCCCCCTGCAGACTTTTAGGGACAGATTAATGTCCAGACAAATAAGCCCTCTAAGGCTTTGCATTGGTCTGTCGGCCAATTAGGAACATGCAGTACTAAGATTGTTAAGTGGAAACAGACCTGAGCACATACAAGTACTTACAACTTCCCCTTTATGCACTACAGAGTATGTGTAGTGTGTAGTCTTTTTTTTTTTTTTTTACAATTTTTTAAGTTTGTACAATCATAGCCTTCGTATAAGACCATTAAAATGAAAATGCTTTACATTTTATGTTGTTTCATATTTTACCCTGGTATTAAGGTTGGTCTCTTTGTTAAGCCTTCATTTTGTTGTTGAGTGAACTGCTGGTGTTGGCAGGACCTCTTAAACTGACAGGAGTTCTTGGCAACCTAACAATTACCCTGAATTTAGCTGCTGTAATGAGCTGCTTGAGATGATAAAGCACACTTGGACTGAATAGAGCCTATAAACTCTGATTTCTATATCATTTCTAAATGGGTGGTGGTTTATTTGAGGTCTTGGATCCCTTTTAAAATCCACTCCTAGTTGTTATCATATTATATCCTTTGCCTTGACTGGAATGTCCTCAGCTCAAAGTTTGTTGAGCAGTGTAGTTAAGGCTTGTTCTAGCCCGTTTGACTCACAGAAACGTTTTGCTCATCCAAAGAGTTCCTGTGTTTTTTGTTTTTTATAAACCTTTATAGTTTAAGCTTGAACGTCATTCACTTGTTGACTTTGACTGTCGAGTGTGTGACTGGAATGGGAGGGGCAAGGTGCCTAAATAAGCGGTGTGTACAGATCACGCTGTAATTTGAGAGGGGGTCTATAAATACCCCTAACCTTTCCTGTGTGTTAGTGTGCATTTGCTTAGAGCTCGGTACAGACCTGCTCGGCTGTTTAGGGACAATACGGGGGCACTGTTTGTGGAGCTGCTGTCAGGCGTAGGTCAGATTTGGGGCTGCCCAGAAATGCACACGATCATTTGTTGTTTTGATTTGAAGTGTCCTGCAGGCGATAGTCAAAATGCCCCTCTTAATGATATGTTTGCCGGCTCGGAGTGAATTCCAGGTTTTCAGACTTCAGCAGGTTTCTCAGGTAATGCCGTTATGTAATGGTGACTTTAAGTCTTAACGTTCTTATATAACTGTTGGTATTTATGCAGTTGATAAAGTTTTTTTAAGATACTATATATATGCGCTTTTGGTGCAGTCAGAAATACTTGTACATAGGACCATATTTTAATTTATCTCTGCATCAAGTTAAATATAGCCATTTAAATGACCCAATGGTGACAGCTTAATCACACAAGTAGGCCAGCCACAAAAAAATCTTTATATCATGACTCAGAAATAGACATATGACCCACAGTGCAGATCCACACACGACACTAATGATATAAACCACCTTGTGCAAAATCAAAACAAAATGTTTAAGTAGTATTTTGTCTTTTTCAGATTTCTGCAGTACCAGCAGTAGCCCCTCCTTTCAGCCGATTCGTAGTCAGATCCCGATTCCCACTGCACATGTCATGCCATCCACGGCCGGAGCCCCGGCCTCAAAGTCCCAGTCTGGACTGCAGGATGATGGACTTTCTTCTGATCCACGGAGGTTTTCTTCGGGCTCACGGACCCCAAGTGGCTCCACTTCGAAGTCTTCATCTTTGTCAAAATCTGCGTCTTCACCAAACCTGGACCTGCCCCTCAGTGTTGGGGCAGACTCTGTGGTGCCAAAGCCGGACTGTCTGAGCCGCTACCGAAGCCTGGTCAATGGGCTGGACCACTCACTGTTCCCCTCCGATCACACACGCATGGATGAGGGGCAGCGCTTTGACACTCCTGCGGTAGAGCCCACTCTGAACCAGTCTGCACTGCTGGGGGGGCTGGCAGCGGATGTCAGGTTTCGATTACAGCCCTCTGGGATTAGAGACAGTGCAGACACGGTGTCTGACGTCTACAGAGGAGCAATGGAGCACAGCTATAAGGTGCTGCCTGAGGCGCGGCCTGGGATTCCCAGCACTTCAGAGTCTAGTCGGGTCGGGCAGGCCAGTGCCACGGGCTCCTCTGCCCTCTACAGCAGCCCACTGAGTCTTCAGACACAGGCCCTGCTGCGAGAGACCCCTGGATCTAAGGGGTATGACCCATTACAACCGCAGCGCTGTGGTGAACTGTCCAACTGGCAGCAGCAGCAGCAGAAACACCAGCTCGATAGTCTGCGGCTACAAGTGGAGCAAATGCAGGTAACAACTTTTACATTTCCCTATTCTTGTTTTGAATTAGTCAGCATAACATCAGAGAAATGTAATGGTGTTAGTCAAACATGTAACATCCCCTCTGGGTGGAAAAACAAACTGATAGGAGCTGGGTGGAGTGTGAACTTGAAGAGAAGCTAGTGAGAGGTCATAGGGACGTAGCCAGGGGTGGGGATTTTTAATTTTTTTTAATCTAGTGTGCTTGATTTAAATTTGCTTCTGAGAGTTCACACTTTACTTTGATTGGTTAAATTCCCCTGTCACTCACTCAGGTCATGACAGAGGCTGACCAAAAGGAGAATGTGAGGAATAATTTTCTATATTTGAGAATTTTGACCACAGAGTTGCATTGAACAGAAACGTACTGAAATACTAAAATCAGTGACTAATCATGTCAAAATTAGATCAAGATTTGATTTTGTATCGCCATGCTGCCTTTCTCTACTTCTACAACTGCTACATTTTAGTCTTATTCTTTTTTTAATTACCAAGTCTTTTTGATCAAATGCATACTTTTATTTATTGTCATTGTATGAAGGGGCATTATTATGCATCTTACTAACTGGCCCACACATTTGTTTTGGCTCAGTTAATGGGAGGTGGAGTTGGTCAGTACGCGCCTTTGTACTCTTCATCTGTGCACTCGGAGTCGGGTAAATGGGATGCCCTTGTTAAGGCCAGTGAGAGTTTACTGAAGGAGAAGGAGCTTGTGATAGAAAGGCAAGTCTTACACATCGCATTAGATAACCCATTGTGCTTATACAAGTGAGAATACACATTATTTATGGGCTGATCTGACTCTGTAATGTTTTTGTGATAGACAAAAGCAGCACATGGCTCAGTTGGAACAGAGACTGAGGGAGAGTGAGTTACAGGTCCATGGGGCCCTTCTTGGTCGTGGTACTTCCTATGGAGACATGCTAATGCTGAGGTTACAGGTTGGTCAAATAAAGAACATCTTATAAAAACAATAATAATTTATTAAGAATATATATTTTTTTACTATTATTATTATGATTGTGTGATTTGTAGGAAGCCCAAAGGGAGAATGCTTTCCTGAGGGCCCAGTTTACAGAGCGCACAGACTGTGCTGCCCTGGAGAAGGCTGATGCAGAGCGCAGACTTGGGGCTGTGGAGGCAGAGACACGCCGCCTCACTGAAAGTCTGAAGGAAACTATCGAGAGGCATGCAGAGGAAATGAAGAAACAGGAAGAGAGGGTTTGTGCACACCAAGCACCACTTACAAATTTCACAAGTTGTAAAAGTTTGCTAAGTGTCCTTTATTTGCAAACTTTACATTTTGTTGTTTGTATGAATTAGATTCGTAGTCGTGACAAACATATCAATAATCTGAAGAAAAAATGTCAAAAAGAGACTGAGCTGAAAAGAGAGAACCAGCAGCGGATTGAGACTTTGGAGCGATATCTGGCTGACCTGCCCACACTAGAGGACTATCAGAACCAAAACAAGCAGGTGAAGACTCATCTACACCATTTTACATATTGAATCTGACAGTGGCATTTCAAAACTTTTAAACTGGAATGTGCGGTTGATTTGTTCTCAGCTTCAAGAAGCAGAGCAGCATGCCACAGAGCTGCAGGAGAAAGTTAAAGACATGGAGAGTCGTGTTGAAGCAACAAACTCACAGCTACGAGAAAAAGATGCACATTTAGAGGAGCAAAAACGCAGAGAGAGAGACCTGTTAACCACCATCACTGAGTAAGCATGCACATCCTAAAACCACATCTGTTTTCTGTTAGCTTTTTCTGTTGTGCACAAAGTGACGTCGTGTGTTTCCTCATTAGCATGCAGCAGCGTGTGCGGCAGGGCCTGGAGGACGGTGCGCGACTCCCCTCTCTGGATTTTGAAAAACTTAGAGGAGAGAATGGTGCTCTGAGAGAGGAGCAGCAGAGACTTAAAAAGGTATTTTACTGCTGATAATTCCATTATCAAAACCTTTTCAACTTGTGTTGTACTTGTATCTGTGTGACTAAAAGGAGGTTTAAGTGTGACCATTAAAGTGCTGAAATACCAGTATTATAAAGCTATATAACATTTAGCCTAACTATACACACTAGCCTTATACAGGGGCATGTGTCTCAAATTTTAACTTTTAAAATGTTTGTGTGTCTTTCTTAAGGTGATTGAGAAGCAACACCGCATGATGGAACAGCTTGGCTCCCAAATTCAGGTATTTATTAATGTCTTGTCTTTCTGTAAATGAAAAACTTCAAATGATGAACAGATTTAACACTGGAGTTTGTGTGCAGTCTTTGGAGGAGCAGATGTCCCAGGAAGAGAGCACCTCCCATGCTCTCAGAGAAGATGTTCTGGCCAAAGAGCAGAGTTTGTTGGAACTCCGCACAGCCATGAAAGAAGTAAGACCATCAGTCCAGTCACTGTCGATTGTTCTAATATTGGTGATTGTCAGTATAACATTAACGTTTGTGTTTAGCTTTCAGCTCAGAACCAGGAGCTAATAGAACAGAACCTGACCCTCCAGGAGCAGCTGAACGAGCCTGAGCTTAGGGACATGTCCCAGGCCTCAGGTCTGAACCCGGCCAGCACAAGGCTCACCCGCCGCCTCCACACTGAGATCGCCTCCTGCCTCAGCGACCTCCGCTCACTATGCAGCATTCTGACCCAGCGAGCACGGGGGCAGGACCCAAACCTCTCTCTTCTCCTCGGCCTCCAAAGTAAGTAGAATTTAAGACTTCAAACATAATTATTACCTTTTCTACCAGAGAGAAAGTTTCTCATTGACAGTTGTGTCCTCAGCCCCTGCACCAGCGTCTGAGCAGGACGAGGACTGGACCAGTCCAGAGGTGCTGCAAAAGAAACTGGCTGAAGCTCAACAGCTCCGCAGAGATGTAGAGGAACTTCGCAATGTGATCTTGGACCGCTATGCACAGGACATGGGGGAGAACTGTATTACCCAATAACCTCCCCTAATGCTTTCGCAACAGACTGTGTAAGGCACACTTATTTCTGAAGCAGCTACAGTGGCTCTTCCTTTGAGCAGTGTTTGAATGTCAGAAAGGACAATTACATTCTTCAAACGAGGACAGTGAAAAGCCCAAATGATTTAGCTTTTTCTTGTCAGTGGAGCTCGCCTGTAGCTAAGAGACCCTCCCTCCCCCCAGTGACTTTATCTATTTCAGTCCAAGGGCTAACAGAAAATAACTTACCTCTTATACTTGATCCATAAATGTGGTTTGTGTGCATTTTTAATAATATTGACACATTAACTGTCAGTTACAGCAGTCTTATTTTATGTTGATCTTAGTGAATAGCATTTTGTGTAGTCCCATAAGTCTAATTTATTAAATGCTGATTTCCCCTTTTAGGGAAATTATAAGTGGTTGACAATCAACTGACATTATTTAATCTCCTTGTAAGTTAACTCGCAAAGACAATGTTACTAAATGCCATTATTTACAATGGCTATAGTGTAACATAGGACTCACACAGTGAGAGGTAAACGTACACCTGAACTTTCTAATACCAAAACAGCACTGTTGTATAATGAGCTGTACACTAGATTTACTACCAAAGAATCTGGTTTGTGAATGTTTGAGTGTGTTTTCTGCTGCAGGCCCTGTTTCAAAGCAAATACCAACATGTGCCTTTCCTTTACATCTGCAGCAGACCAACAGTAAAGGGCTGTCTGCAGCAATCTCTTCTAGTCTCACTTTTCTGCTTTTATGAACTGGTAGGACGGTTTATACAATACATTCCCTGACGTTGAATGTAGGTTGTTTGTAAAGGCCCTTAACTGCTTTGTGCTCCATGCTAGAAAGGGCCTAGAATTGTGTTGAATTTACAGCGTACAGTGCATAGCGTAACCTTACAGTATGGCAGGCAGCTGACTGATAATGGTGGACCTGCTAGAGAAGTGTTGTTTATTAGTGACTGAGTAACAGTATTAATCCTCAGTATTATTTATTGTTTTTGTTTGCAATGACAATTCAGAGTGAACGCTTCTGGTTTGTCCAAATGTGATGCTGTAATAATGTGCTAAAACGTTTGAGGAAATGTTGCATTTGTTTTGTGAAAAGGTCCCATGAAGTGACAGTATTTTCTATGTCTGTTGGTTCTTTATGTTTGAAAGGGGAGCAGTATTCATGTGGCAGCAGACTTATCCCAGGTGTGTAGAGGGTTGGCTGGATCATCCCACACACACCACTGTTATTTTCGTTTACCTGCTTGTACAGAAAGCCATTGAAAACTAGACACTTTAAAAGGAGACAAAGGGATTTTTATTAGATACAGAATATGAAATATGCAAGATTTTGAATAATTGGTTTAATAACAGGGACTGAAGCCATTTCTCATTTCATGGGATCTTTAACTTGACTAGCACAAGATTTATCAGGCTCCGCATGCCTTAACATCTCAATGTTTTGCAAAAAGGGAAAAAATGTTTATATTTTCATACCTTGTTCTTGTTTGAATTTTGACTATTTTAGCAATAAAGACTTTCAACAGTTAATCCAAATGTTGTTTTTTTATTTATTTAAATATTTTTGCAAACTTCATGTTGCTGTTTCATTACTGGTGTTGCTGGTCTGGGGCGTAACAGTAGAGAAGTGTTAGCTGTGAGTCCACAAGCCCGAATGGTCTGACTGTCGTCGTCAAAAGAGCAGCGTGGGGACACACTGACGATATCATAGCTGGACATGTCCCCTTCTCTGTCACAAACGCACCAAGTTCAGTGTCTCAAGCTTAAACCAAAAATGATGATAAAGCCTCACCTGTGTTTGTCCAGATACTGCCGAACGTGACCAATCGTCTCTGAGCAGTTCATTTTCAGCATGTATATGTGATCACCATCTTCAGACCTTATCTTTAGAGTTATTACACTAGATTCTCGACACTGGGATTTTGCCTGAAAACTGTTGTCAACAAAACACTTTTATTACACTCATTTTTATAGGTACATTTGTGTACAGGTCATATTCTGGCATCCAGCAGGCAATAAAAAACATTTTTACTTTTGCTGTTGAAATAAACAGAAGCCTATGACACATGGGTTCGTCATCATCACCAGTTTAATCTAATTGTAATAATCAGTGTTGAATGATAAGGCAAGAGGGGCTCCAGGTGGAAGTCCTATTTTGTACTTTGTTGTCAATAAGCATATACTACATTGTAATTTAGCTTTACTATATGGTATTGATCATTACCAATTGTTTTATTTAGAGATGGATTACCTCTGCAGGGCTGGTGTGTCTACAAAGGTCACCAAGTTTCTGTAGTGGGCGTCAGAGGAACCCTAATAAAAGTATTACGCAAAAGTACAGTGAACAAGTACAGACACGACATGTGGGGCGTAGTTCATTAAATTTGCAAAACTGTTGTAGGAGTAGGTGGGGCATGACCAAAAATGTTCTCATGTACCTGCTTGCTCCTGGTCACCTGCAGGGCTCCTTCCAAACCCTCCCTGATCGTCATCACTTGCCCTGCCCTCTCTCCTTGACCGAGTTTTTTACCTTTAAAATACACGAGAAGAATTAATCCTCAAACCAGAATTAACTGTTATTCCCACTGATTCAGATGTTAAACCATGACAGAGATACGACTGTGTGAGACAACTGTGGTTCTCGTCCAACAAAGTCTCTGATTGGATGAAATAGTTTGGCTCTGGCAATTTCCTAATGATTCTCATTTAACAAAGTGCCTTTAAATTGGACAATATCATTTATTCTAACAGCAGATACAAGTACGTGCAGATGAGGTGTTAAATATAGAAGTTGGAGTAGGTTTCATATAAAAAAAATAAATAAATAAATAAAACAACTTAAAAATATAAACATATAAAACATATAACACAAACAATTGCAATTACGTGTAAAATAATAAAATGTAATGAAGTAAAGTAACCCACCGCCTTCAGGTGCCGCATTAAATGAGTTTTTTCCATTGTTTTTTCGAATAACATGCCCATGACCAGGAAATGTTTTTTTCTGTTGCTTGGGGATAAACTGCTCATTCCTCCTGTCGTGGACCTAAATGATAACACTGCATTATTGTTCTATGTCCACTTTTGTTGAATGGAAAATCAAAGACACACCTCAAAAGGCACACCATCTGGAAACCTTTCCTGTAACTCCGATGGAAAATAGCCATCCATCAGATCCTGCATAAACTGCTGCAAAGATAAACAGACCGGTATGAGCAAAACGACAGGCTTAGGGTGACTTGTTTGTTAATGGTTTGATCCCAGTTTAGTGGGTACACTTTACTGTCTTGGTAAAAAAAATGTGTCTTCTGCATTTGACCCATCTATCAATGCTTCAGGAGCAGGGGACCCCATCTCCAGATCTTGAGCCCTGGGCCTTTACAATCCTGTTTTGGGCCAGATTTAGTGGTATGATCATATTTTAGAACCTGAACTAATTTGTATAGCTTCATAGATATATTTGTTATAATGTGATTTAGTGCTTTTCTGTTAATGCAGCCATACACTTACACACACAGACATGCCATCTATTTTACCCATCCCGTTACAGTTGTGTGTGAACTCTAAGAAGAAGCTGATAATTATCGCTGAATGCAATATGAAGTTATTGTAGTTACTGTAAGTTAAGTTCTGAAAACAAGCATAGTGTGGGCTCTTCAAAGGTTGTGGTTTGAATCCTGTTGTTGTGTTGTTTACCCGTGCAGTGGTGAGACTTAAATATGAGCTAACTTGGGTTTTCTGCTCCCGATACGTCCGAAATGGTCCGTCAAACATCACAATGCCATTCTGATAAAGCCAAAGCTCGACTGGTTCCTGTTGTGCAAGCTGAGCACCCGTAGTTGTAGTCTGGATGTAGGTCTCACCCTCCCCTGCCAGAATGTTAAGCTCTTGTATCTTCTCTAGGACAAGGTCAAAGTTAAAATGAAACCGCCTGTCTGCTGGGGCCCCTGAGAAAAAACAAATGACTAAGTAAAATGTGCCCCCAATACCACAAATCTTTATCTTTACAAACTTGGAAAGTACCTGATGGTGTCCATAGCCCCTTAAAGTTGTAGGCCTGTTCACATTCTTTTGCGTCTGTATTTTCAGATCCAACCCAGATCATGTCATAGTCCATAAGAAAGCTCTGTAGGATAAGCCAGCCTCAATAGTGAACTATTTTCTATATTTTGGTAAAAAATTATTAAAGTATTCTCACCTCCATTTCAATAACTTGCCGTTGTAGCATGATGTATCTCCTTTCAAAAATCTCTACAATAGTATATTTTCAGTATGTAATTTAAACTGCAAACTTTTCACTTGTCTCACTAAATTCTGTGGATCTTTAAATTTGGTTTTCACAATGCTACATTAATAAACAACAAACAACACACATACTGCACCTTTCTTCACCCTCAGAGCTTCTTCTAATGCGGAAATCCTTTTATCCTAAACAGCAACAGAATTATAATAGTGTATTGAGTTAATTATTAGGATGATACATAGGACTACCATTGACCATACAATGAAAATATAATACCTTTTGACAAATCTCTTCAGCTTGGGCCCTGACTCTCTGCTCCAAACATGACAGCTGCTGCAGCACAGCAGACCTTGGTTCAGGGCTGCTTGGGCTGCCTGAGAAGAAAGGGCCAAATCCACAAATTGACTTTATTATAAGAGATGGAAAGGGTCTGTTTATTTCTTTTGTACCTTTCTTTTGTGACATTTTGGTGATATGAGGAGCGTTGGGGGTCCCTGGAGGGTTTGGGTCAGAAATAGAGGAACCATGATCAGCTGCTACCTGAAACTCTTCACAGTGTACAGAGAAATAAACAATACATTTCCTATTTTAGTTCTTCTCTGTTGTTGCACAGACCTTTGTCATTTATGACACCTACCTCTTAATGGGTTCCTCTTGGGATGGTTATCAGGTTTTTCCCTGTGGTACAAAAACGATTTAATGCACTATTCTGCAGTCCAGTTCCTAAGTGCCAAGCAAAGCTACAGATTTGCATTGTGATTACTGACCATTGCGGCAGAGGGGTGCGCTTCATTTTCTTCAGTGTTGACAAAGGTGAACTCATTTTGAAGGGCACAAAACTATTGCAGAGACTATCCACTTGTTCTGTTGTTGTTTTTTTCTAAGTTTGTTGGTTGTCAATGACAACACGAGCTCATTGGCTTATTTCTATTGCAATGCCTCATCTAACCGTTGTGCGCCGCTGTGTAAAACATAATTTAGATATTTAGTATTTGGGCAATAAAACATCACTTGTAATGTTTGCAAAATTTCTCTCAAATCATTGATCAGATAAATGTGTAGATGTAGGTCTAGTCGCTCGGAAACCTCTTTCCTTAGTGAATACATAGGCTAATAATGCTCCTTTTGTGCCACAGGCAGTGGGCAGCCGCGGGTGCGCAGCGGCCATACTGCCCGGGCCAGGGGAGAGTGAGCGGATAAGCGGGAGGATGATGCTGAGGCCTGCATGTCCCGCAGCATCATGTCCTCTTTAACCCGGGGCTAAAGGCAGGCCCGGTGATGGCGGCGCCCATCGCACATTTCGACGATGACTGGCCGAATGGGGGTGAGCTGAGCCTGCTGTCGGGGCTCGCTGTGCCACAGAAAGGCCACGGTGTTCCCGCCGGCGATGCGGAGCTGCTCCAGGAGGATGAGCTCCGAAACTGCAGCCTCTCCCCGGGCGAATGTGGGGCGTTCAGGTCCATGGAGGATCTGGTGAAGGATTTTGACGAGAAGTTAACTGTGTGCTTCCAAAATTATAACGCGAGAACCGAGAGCATCGCCCCCGTGAAAGTGCTGAGTGAGGACGCGCTGTTGGAGAGGGACGAGTGAGTCCTGTGGCCTGAATGTGTCTAAACCACAAACTGTGTTTGTGTTTACGGGGGCATTTCTATTCTCACTTCTAAATTTTTTAGGCTTTTTCGTCTCCGTAGATTCAAACTGTCCTATATAACACGGTCATGTAAAACCTAATTGCTAACGAGTTGGGTTATTTTTGGGCCTTTTTGCTGATGTTCTTTACCGACACAATAATCTGACATGGGCTAAATAAAGCCTATGTCAACCATATCCTGTAGGTTAAATGCAGTAGGTCTATTGACATCAACACTGGCAGCTACAGTAACTTTGAAGGGCACAATCCATACATTATCATCATCACTCATGTAAAATATTATTTTATGGAAGCTTTCTCCTCATCTGTTGTTCTGCTTTCTTTAAAAAAACATCAGTAGGATTAATGTCATGAATCGCAAGCATTAAACAGCTTAATCTGGCTTCAATATATTTTTAGATGACGGCCTAAAACACTTCTATTTTTATTCATAGTCTTGTGATGAGAGTTTGATTTGTGTTTCTCCTCTTTCACAGGATTTGGACTGCTTTAACTCACAACTACAGCCAGGTCATGCCCGTGGATTGGAAACAGTCTGTGGCCTGCTCCCTACACACACCAGCATTTAATCAGGAGGACAAAACGGTACGCAACTCCATCAACTCCTGTATCTCCTACCTTACTTTCCTCCAACTCCTCCAGCCATATCTGATGTTTAAACTCTCAAATGCACTGTGCCGTGGCTTAGTTATTTTGATTCATTGTGGAATTTTATTTTGAATAGAGACAGGATAATATTCAAGAGGAGCTATCCGATGATGAGGAGCTAAGGGAGCAACTGGACATGCATTCGATGATCATCACCAGCCTCACAGACGAGCCCCTGCCATCAGCCGACCAGGTAACCGCACCTTCTCTTTAAAGGTTCACTATGTAACATTTCTGGTGAGGGGTACATCATCTACCATCTTGTAAGGTGGATATTGATTTGCCTGGAATGTCCCTCTGTGTTCCTCTAATTCATTACTGTAAAAACAAGTTCATAGCAGGCTCACCACAGATCTGACCTGTTACTTCACTTTGTTGTCTCTGTGGAGTTTCGTGTTGTACAGTAGATCATTCCAGGCAAAACAATAACATATCCATGGAGAGAAAGGTTATATAGTATGCTTTTAACACTCCTTGACACCTAGCTTTAGTTAGTAAGAGAAAAAAAGAATACAGGAACATACTTCATGCTAATTCAAAGGATTATTTTTACATATGAATATACAAAATGATACACAAATAAGGATTTTATATCCAATAATAAAATATATATGTACTTGCAAATTTCCATGCTAAATATCAAAACAGAAAACCATTTGAACTTTAATCTTATCTACTTTCTTGGCTCATCCAAATCAGATAAGCTTTATTGCCATTGTCAGTGAACAGGATTAAGGAATGTGCTTTGGACTTGGTGCAAACAAAGAGTAATATTTTAACAGTGTTCATCAAAGGCTCACAGTTTTTGTGTAGGGCAGTGAATGTTGTGTCTGTATCCGGGCTGTGAAAGTGGAGCAGCGTGTCAGCAGGGCAAAACACATTTATTCCCTCAGGCCTGGTGGGATTTCATTGGTCTGTTTTTGTGGTTGTAGGTCATTGAGGAGATAGAGGAGATGATGCAGGGCTCTCCAGACACTGCCCACCACCCCTCACAGTCCGACCTCTCCATGCTCTCTGTGGATGTGCAGCGCTTCACCAGCCCCCACTATGAGGAGAGTACGTGAAATACACAAAACAATCAAGGACATTTATATAATACATGTACTTCTGCTAACCTCACTGCACAGCCATAAATAATAGCAGAGGCGAAATAGCAGTAGTTCCCCAAAGAGTATTTAGTATAATTTTAAATGCACATTTATAGAGTTTTAAAAATGGAGGCAGTGCATAGTGCAAAAAATCAGATGGACTAATGGACCGGATACTTGTTAATATCCTGTGGGAAATATTATACATATTTAATAACACTGATATTGCACTGCTAACATCTTTATGGAAAAGAATAGAAACTGTCAGTTCCCCTGCACTGAATAACAATGATACCTAAAATGACTTAAATGGGGAAAAATGGGCATACAGTGGCTTAGCGGTTAGCGTTTTCGCTCTTAACAGAACCATGTTGATGGATCTTACAAGTGTGCACTTATTTGTGGGTAAATTGGTGTATCTTATATATATCTTGGTGTATCCAAATTTTGTGTTAAATTGCATGTTACTATAACATTTATAGTCAGAATGATCGATGAATCCAGGAATCCTTACTAGCGGTATATCTACACTATAACTAGGGGTGTGCAAAAATATCAAAATATCTGTACATCATATCATTTAATGTGATGATACAGTATCGATATCGTGGACTGTTCTATCAATATATAGCCAGGAGTATTTTTTGGTATATTTTACTAAACTATTTTGTTACAGAGCTACAGTTTTGTTGCGTGTTCAGAGGAAGGAAACGTGTTTATGCAACACATTTGGCATTTTCACTGTTTTGATGATTAAAATGGGTGTGTTTCATATAAACTTTGCACAAGAAGTGGTTTAACAAAAACTTTAAATACCACAGTCATGATTTATCCTTTATTTTTATTAAACTAAACTGAACCGACAGTGCACTGTATCAAGATATGTATTGTATTGGCAACTTCTTAAGCCCTAGCTATAACCTTGTTTTATCCAGGAATAAGGACCATGACAGTGGCAGAACTGAACGCGCGCCTGGAGGAGACAGAGGGCACTATTCGTGGGCTGTCTGAGGAGTTGGTTCTGCAGTTGGCGCTCAGGGACGAACTGGACTTTGAGAAAGAAGTGAAGAACAGTTTATCTCGGCTCTCATCGACGTTCAGAACAGACAGAAAGAGCACCGTGAGATGATCAAGAAGAAGAAGAAACTCAAAGGAGCAGCTGGGACTTCACAGGGCCACAATGATAAATCACTGGGAGTGAGTATCCAGATATCATTAGTGTGCATGAATTTCCTAGAGACATATATTTCCATTTAGAGCAGCAGTTGACACCGCCAGGCTCAGTCTGATCAGATCACAGAAAAGAAAGACTCACAGAAAGAATGCATGCATTCATTTTTAACAATAAAAACACCTGTAATTGTAGAAATGCAAGACACATACAGTATGTTTAATGCCCTATTGTGGAGAATTTCAGTCAAAACTACATATCCATGGATACAAGATGGTAGTGGATTATCTTAAATCTTACACAGTACATAAATCTTAAACTCCAGGGTATACAAAGCAGAGAGAACTACATAAACCATGATCTTTTGCTCATTCCGTGCTGCAAAAATTACATGATATTTATACTAAGATTAATATTTAAATTCATACCATTTAGATGTAGAATTGTTTCACTCTTAATTTCTGCATGAAAATCCTTTACTCTTGGCATCTTTTTTCATGTTTTGTCGTGTGCTCTGAAATTCCTGTCTCTCATTCCTCTTCAGCGTTTCAGCATGGAAGGACTTTCTTCTGCCATTCAAAACAGCTTTCGGCAAACATTTAGGGGCGGGTGCACTGAAAAACAGGTTTTGCTCTACTTTTCCCCTTTAGCCGTCAAGCTTGTTATGTGATAAAAGTGTGTCTTACTAATTTGCTTTTTCTCTTGTTTATCTTATAGTACTTGACCACAGTAATACCTTATGCAAAAACAGGACACCCTCCATCGAATGAAGACTTGCAAGTGCTTACCAAAAGTAAATATGATTTATATTTTATTTTTTAAATACATTGATCAAAAAGCTTAAAATGTGGCTTTGTATTGTTTTCAGTACTACTTGCCATGAGAGATGACAGCGACAAGGTGCCCAGTCTTTTAACAGATTATATTCTCAAAGGTAAGGCAGGATGTAAAGTGTAAATACATAGCAGGAATATGTTTACCTTTTCATTATTCACAGTCATGTAATCAATAAACACACAACTTTTTCCCCCCTTTTAATATAAATTACATCAAATGCAAATAGCACGTCTTTTTGGGTCTTTGTTCTCAACATAAACCACATAAAAATGTTGAATTTATTGTATTTTCATCCGATAATAACCTACATTGGAATTTCAATTAAACTTTGTTATGTATGTACATGTCTTTGTACCTAAAGGGCTGTATACTGATGAAAATTTAGCACCATTCAAAACAAATTATTTTATCTTTTCAATGATGAAATAGGTTCAAACTGCCTCATATATAAAAAAAAAAAGTTCCAACCCCTGAATATAAAGGTGCTTTAGACAATGAAAAACAACTCTTTACATCTGCTATATTAATTCAACATAAAAAATATATATATTTGACCTATTTCTTTGCACAATTTTCTGCTGCCTTTTACTTCAGCTCTGGTGTGAGCAGTGGACAGAGGTTTGTGACTGTGATACTGATGTTGTGATGTGGAAGAGCTCCCCCTGTTGGCCACTAAGGTGTATTGCAGTCTGGCCCTGATGCTTTCCTCTCACGCACATAACCCCCTCTCCCCAGATCTCTTCCTTTGTCCCACAAATACCGGCCACACATGGATGATCCCTGTTTAGTGTATATATGCCTCTAATAGAGGACTAGACTTAGTCACCATGATTTTGTGCATGTTTTTAGATGAGTGTAGTAAGTTCAAATGTGCAGCTGTATTTTTCTTCTGTTATCTTTGTTTGTGTTTTTTATGTCTTTTTACTTTGTGATACATTTGTTATTATGGTTTGTTTTTAACAGTGCTTTGCCCAACGTAGACCAGAGCAACACTGCCTACACTCTGAAGGCCTGAAAGTGGAGGAAGATGAAGAGGATCCATTGTATATTTTTAAGGGTTCAATTTATTTATTTTTGCATGTTTTTTGGTATTTGGTTGTTTCTGTCTGTTTACTGTTACCACGACTTTTGCGTTAGTCAATATCTCAAAGTCAGTGTTTTTTGTTTTCACTGTGAAAATATTTCATGTGAAAACAAATGATACAACAAAAGTGTTTGTTACAGATTCACTTAAAGAGAATACAAGTAAATGTATTTGTGAAGTATTTGATAAAAATATGAGCAAATGCACAATGTAAAACTTGGGCTGTTGGCACAGAGCTCTTAGCTCAGACAGTACAGTATATGATGCAGTATTAGAAAATAAGAATGTAAAGAAAATGACAAATAATGTAGATATAAATTACTCCTTAGTGGGAATGTAGCAATATTAAAAATATATGAAATAATGATGAACATTAAATTTGATTGCACATTTGAAGATCTTTTGATTTTACATTGTATTTCTGTTAAAACTCAACAGTACATTGCACCATTGTTGTCTGAAAGCTAAATTAAGGTATAAGAATGTAGTGTGGGCTTAAAATGTGAATTACCTAACTATGCATCTGACTGAATTGTAAACTCGACCTGTGCACTGTCTGTGTTGTCATGGCAACGGCTCTGAATCAGAGACTCGCAGAGAAGCAGTGATTGATCAACTTCTGTCACACTGCCGATGTCATTTTGTGATTACAAACTGCCTTGGCCTCTTGTAAACTTTTTTACTTTGTAATAAATGACCTGTTTTCAATTCAATAATGTCTTAAACAATTGCTAAACATGTTGGTGAAGTTAAATTTTTTGTCCGCTCTTTGTTAAACTGATAGGGAAGGTTTTTAAGATAAACACATTCATTTTGTAACTACGTTTTATTATTACATAAAACTTGACATGTGACGTTTGTCTTACTGCGGTCCAATGAGGACAACCAGAAACTTCGGTTAAAATCTCAAAACACATTCCCTCAAATTAAATCAAACAATGAAGAGTAGACCAAAGTAAATATTGCACCCGCACATAATTAGAAAGGCCATATTGCGCGTTACAAAACACACTATCGTATGGCAACAGACATGTGGAGATGGTCACGCTTGTCTGAACACTTAAGTGCCTCCTACAAATCCATTTTTCTGCCACACTTCTAAAAGAATCAGTGTTTCACATCTGTAAAGCATTAGTTCTGATAAGATTTCCTCATGCAACTAACTATTGCCAGACTGGCTAAAAGAGCAGGAACAGCCCCTAGAGCAGCACTAGGTTGGAGTTCAGACCAGAACCACCACAGTTTAGAGCAAGCTTGGGCTTTGAAAAACATTATGGATGCCAAAGCAGCCCTAGTGGTGGTTTGCCTTCTTGTGTTGGGACACTGCACACTCCAGCAGACCACCTCAAAGAAAAGAAACGGGAAGAAAGGTAGGTAATACAAATCAAACAGCATGTCAAATGAAGTGGAAAAATTCATGTAAAAATAAGTGGTAAATAATGCTTTTTGCAGGTGCAGACAGTGCTGCAATAGAGGAAATGAAGAAACAAATAAGCAACATTGTGATGGAGCTCAATGTACTGAAGGAGCAGCAAGCATTACAGACAGGTAATCTTTTAGATGAATAATGGATACATTTTAATTAAAGGCATGCTATGTAACTTTTCTGGCAGGGGGTCCACCACCTGCACCAGCTCTATGAACACTATTTGCAACTTAAAATGTTCCTGCTGGACCTGTACACTTTGGCTTACATAACTTCAACTCCTCAGTTTGTTTACGAGGCATGAAGATCCTTGGCAAGTGTTTTCTGGCTGATCACATTAAGAAGAACTTCCACTCTGCCAGTGACGACTGCATTGCCAAAGGGGGTACTCTGGCCACCCCCCTGAATTTGGACGAAAATGAGCAGCTTTATGACTATGTGCGCCAGAGCATCGGCCCAGAGGAGCACATCTGGCTTGGCATCAACGACATGGT